GCAGTGGGGTGGATGCTTTGTTCTTGTTATAAGATGTTGATCCTCGCTATTTGGGGTATTTCTAAAGTAAACAACTGTTGGAATTGTTTCCTTGTTTCGCTGCGTCACTGGAAGATGCATTTGCTGTATTTATTGTGAAATGATCTTTTCTTGTATTCTCTCCACCAAAGCGCTGCGGTTGGGGCAGGTAAAGTTTTTTAGAAAGGCAGAAAAGTTTGTGTGGTTTCAAGTCGTCGGAATAAATGATGCTTCTGCCAGAAAGACTAACTGCAGAGAACCAAGATGTTCTCACATAAACAAACTAATTATTAAGCTCAATGATTATTGGTATGTTGAAAGATATGCTAAATAAAACATGATTTTGAAGATTTTTTGGGTATATCAAGTTCTGCAGGGGCACATTCATCAAATGCCAGGATTATTATTTGCTAATGTACAGCACAAGTATGCAGTAGCATAATAGTGCCAGTTGTCTAGTTATTCGATAAGTGGCATACAACAACAACAACTTGGATTTATATAGCGCCCCCCCACGCCGGACGGCGTCTCAGAGCGCTTCACAGTAACGGATCCCGGGGCCGAGCCAGGGGGAGGGGGGGAAGGTGACTGAAGGCACGGTCGAACAGAAAGGTCTTCAGCAGAGACCTGAAAATAGGAAGAGAGGGAGCGAGGCAAAGGGAGTGAGGAAGGCAGTTCCAGAGTACTCGGGGCATAATGGCTGAAGGCACAGCCACCGAGGGTGGAGCGAAGGACTCGGGGGACGAGGAGGAGGCCAGACCCGGAGGAACGAGGGCAACGAGTACTGTTTTGAGGAGAGAGGAGTTCAGAGAGGAGGGGGGTGCAGAGGAGTGAAGGGAATTGAATACAAGGGTGAGGATCTTGAAATCGATCCTCTCTGGGATAGGCAGCCAGTGCAGTCTGGCAAGGACTGGGACTCGGGTGATCGGGGAGCGGAGTTTTGTCGGAGGTGGAAAAAAGCGGTGCTGGTGAGGGAACTGTGTTGCGGCATAAACTGCAACACAAGTTTCTCTGTTCATAAATTTTGAATACCAAAAGGTTTCAATCTTCTCTCCAAATTGTGCATGTGACCTGTTCACTTAACCAAGATCACTTCTTTGGTTTTAGCTAGGATACTTAAGAGAACCTCCCTTTTTTGGGAAGTTTCGATTGATCTTTAATGCCCACCTGAACAGAAAGACAGGACTTTGGTTTAACATCTCATCTGACGAATGGCATCTCTGACAATGCAGAATTGCCCCAGCAATACATTGGAATATCACCCTGCCTAGACGTTGTGAGTTTAAAGTCCTGATGCCTGGCTTGAACCCACAACCTTCTGACTCAGAGGTGAGGTGCAACTAATTGAACCGGGCTGACTGAGTATTGTGGACCGCTTTCCAATAGCTGTCATCCCAGCACAAGATTAACCTGCACTGGGACTCATCTACCACTGAAGATAGATAAGAACAACCAGAGTGCCCTTTGTCCCTTCTCAACGCAGTGCAGTCCTGAAGGACAATATCCAAGGAAATGATGGGTCCACTACAGCCCCAGATACTGGTGCATTGGAGTGGATGCCCTTGTATCTTGCAGTGAATACCTTTGAGATCCCACTCTCAAGCCATGCAGAGCCATAATACCATATCTTGCTAAGTGGCCCAAAGTAGGTGCACTGAGTGCAGCCACGAGATGACCAGGTGAGTCCACCAACAGCACAAAACCACCTGCAAACAGAAGCACCACAACACTTTTAGCAATGGCTCATTTGCCTGCCAATACTTGCTCTCAGGGCTAATATATGACTGTCCAGTGCCTTGGGACACCCTCCAGAGAATGAAAGGCGCTATACAAATGTAAATTTTTGTATTGTATGATGTATACTGGTCACTTTGGCTGAAGAGTTGAATGCATTCTGTACGAAAGAAAAAGACACAATCACTGGAGTGGTTCCTGAATATCTTATGAACTGTAATATTAGGTTCTAAATGATTATGTTTTCAATCTTTAAATAAATCAGAAACTGTGTGTAAAAACATATATAGCTAATAATGCCACAAAATATGCAGTCAATTCACTTTGCAGTGGTGATTGCAATTGGCCTGTGAAGCGCTTTGAGACGTCTCAAAGACGTGATGAGGCGCTATATCAAATGCAAGGATTATTTTTATTATTATGTGATCAATGCTATCTCATTCGATGTGCATGAAATAACATTGGACCAGAACTAGTTTTCCATTAGCTTCTGGTATTTGCGGAACATTTTCATAGTCTCATTACTGTATTGGGGAGCGTCACCTGTAACCATAGTAACTCATGCTCTGGCAATTGGCACTGAGCTCTCTGGTATCCATATTGCATCTGCACAGCTGTTCTGAAGTTAAACATCACCTTTATTTCAGCGTTTAACATGGCACGGTTACCTTGGAAACTATCATGCACATTTAACCCAGAACTGCTAATTAAGAGACCTTTTCAATCAATGACACTAATGCTATTCTGGAACCTCTTTGAAGTAAAGCATTTAACCTTTATGTCAGAGCTGTCCAAATATCTCTTTCGATTTCCCTTTAATAAACCACCCACTGATTATAAAATGAAAATGGAAGTCTTTCCCAATATCTTTGTGTTGCACATTCTGCACCTTCCTGCATAAGCATCCATTAACTAATGCTGACTTATATACCTTTAATGATTAGCCACTGTCTTTGTGATTGTTCACCGTGCTGAACATAAAAAAAAAGCTGGAGGATACAGGACCAAATCCACTCCTAAACAGTAAGTTAAACTCACATCTCAGATAGAGTTGTGTCTCAGTCAAAATATAGTACTGCACATAAAAACATAAGAATTAGGAGCAGGAGTAGGCCATTCGGCCCTCGAGCCTGCCCCGCCATTCGATAAGATCATGGCTGATCTTCAGACCCAACTCTAATTACCTGCCTATGCCCATATCCCCTAATCCTCTATTTTTAAAAATCTATCAATCTCAGCCTTGAAGATGTTCAAGACTGAGCATTTACAGCCTTCTGGGTAGTGAATTTCAGTTTTTCAGTCAGTTTCTAAGAGGCTGACCCTTATTTTAGACTGTGACCCCTGGTTATAGATCTCCTACCAGGGGAAACACACCCTAAGTGTCTACACAAGCTAATGGAATATTTGTTTCATTTCACAGCATTATAGCTAAAGTGAAGCTTCATTGCTTGTAAGTCTTGTTCATTCAGGAAAAAAAAATGCAGATTCTCTGATTACTATATGGAGCTTTCAGCCACTATACCCTGAAGCTTTGGAACTCTCCCTCAATCCCTCCACCTTTCCCCCTTCTTCCCCCTCCTTTAGATCACTACTGAAGACCTTCCTCTTTGACCATGCTTACGTACCTTCTCACTCCGCCTGGTCCTGCGTCAGGATCTGGCACTGTTAAGTGCTCTGAAACGCTGCCCCTTGTGAAGGGCAAGTTGTTGTTTACTGTTCATGGTTTTCTACTGCAAGCTGTAATTACTATTGGATCAATAGCTTTTGTAATGTTACATTAAAACTAACAATATAATAATTTTCTGTTTGTTTTAGGGCCTCGAATACACTATTGGAAACACAGCCAACGCTTTATTTTAATGGACATTTGGTAGTCCCGTTTCTGCGGGTAAAAATTCTTTCTGGAAGGAACCGGTCAGTTCTCTCCTTCTGGAGAAAACAAAAATGCCTAAATTTCGAGAAGCAATAAAATGCATCACAGGCGCTTCAGCAGGAATTGTCTGCACTGAACCATTGATTGCAAGAAGATATCTGGTTAAGGAAAGACTCGGCAGAGGCAGTTTTGGAATGGTTTCCCTTGTATTGGATAAGAAAGCCCGGAAAGGAGAAGAACTGTAAGTTGGTGCTTTATATTTTGAACATAGTGAAGACATGATGGTATAGAGTCAGCCTAGCTTCACTGGTAGCACTCTTGTGGATTCAAGCCCCACGTTGGGACTTTTGAGTTCATGATGGGAGGAAGAGTCGCAGAGTGTCTGGTGCACATATTGTCCTTTCCAGCAAAGAGTAGAGAGTTTCTCCTGGTGTCCTGGCCAACAACAACAATTTGCATTTATATAGTGCTGTTCACGCCGGAAAATTCCCCAGATTAAAACATTTGGGCAATCACTCATGACTGATTGTAGAATATTGCTGTGTGCCAGCGTCCGGAATCCACCTGGTTTGGCTTGCAGAGAGGTAAGCAGCAGCGGCTTAAACTCCCCGCCTCCAACTGGTGGAAGGCAAGAGAAGGGACGTGTGTCTGAGCTGCAGAGAGGAAGATGATGACAATGCTCTCACGCATTTCATGCTGAAATGTGTTGTCACCGGCCAGCTCACAGGGAGGTCCTGGTACCTACCATCCACTTAATGAGGACTCAAACCACACAGTTGGATATCAA